TTAATAAATTTAAGGCGACACTATATATCCAAACTATTATTTGTTCTAAATAACAAGTATCTCTAATTTACATATTTGCAATTTTACAAAACTATTCTAATTTTGATAAGAGATGTACACGTGATTGCCATACTATGATGCCGGTATACAGCACTTATGGGAGCAAACCCATAAGGGAAATTACAAGAATACAATTCATAGAATAAAGAAAATAGCAATCTAGCAAGTTGGGAGTGATGACCTAAGGGATCTAATGAGAGTAGTGCCCAAATATATGCTCGCCACTGACTAGGAGGCAATCTGTAATGGCTAGATGAATACACCAAACTATTAGAATACATGCATAAAAGTCAGGGGAATGGGTTGACTAAGAAAGATGAATCAATCGTAAAACACACCGGCGGTCCATTTCATTTGTTGAGCACAAATATAGAATGGTAAGTTTTTTATCATAGTCATAGTTCAATTACATTTATTTATATAAATTATTCATTTAATGAATTAATACAATAGGAACAAGGTGAGACGAGAGGCAACCAAGTTGAGGTCTATGACTGTATTCACCAGAGAAAACAAGGAGAAGGTGATTATGTCGACAACAAGTCGAAAAGGGTTCGAGTAAGTTTCTTATGCCAATTTTAGAATAGATTAAAATCCACTACCATAATTTTCACTCAATATATGTTCTTTGTGCTATTACTACTGTTGACAAAGTGCTTAAAATATTTAATTTCCTATTGGACCTATTATATCATGTAATTCTTAAATTTGAAGGTGGCTTATTTCTTAACTTTGAATGTGGCTTGTATACTTTATTTAGGCAAGTAATCTTCTAGTTGCTTCTGATACCTATTATATGAGACTGAACTAAGATTTGTTTGTAACTAAACAAAATCCTGCTTATAACTGAAACAATGGTTACTTGTGTGACTAGGATTAAACTTCGTTTTATTAATGAAGATATATGCATGTAACTGAACTTAGATGTGCTTGTAACTAAATGGGCCTCTCCTTATAACCATACAAAGCTATGCTTGTAATTGAATAAGTCATTGTCTCTAAGACTTGATCCTAGGTTTTGTTGAATAAAGGGATATATCTGCATGTAACTGAATAGAGATATACTTGGAACTGAACTGAGATCTGCTTGTAACTGAACCAATGGATGCTTGTGTGACTGGAACTACACTTTGTTTCATCATTGAAGATATATGCATGTAATTGAACTTAGATGTGCTTGTAACTATATGGGCCTTTCCTAGTAACCATACAAAGCTATACTTGTAATTGAACAAGTCATTGTCTCTAAGACTTGGTCATAGGTTTGGTTGAATAGAAGAACATATCTGCATATAACTAAAGGAAGATATGCTTGGAACTAAACTGAGATTTGTTTGTAACTAAATAGAACCTTACTTGTAACTGAACCAATGGATGCTTGTGTGACTGGGATTACACTTAATTTCATCATTGAAGATAGATACATGTAACAAAACTTAGATGTGTTTGTAACTATAGGAGCCTTTCCTTATAACCATACAAAGTTATACTTGTAACTGAACAAGTCATTACCTTTCAGACTTGGTCCTAAGTCTGGTTGAATAGAGGGACATATTTGCATGTAATTGAACGGAGATCTGCTTGGAACTGAATTGAGATTTGCTTATAACTAAACGGAACCCTGCTTGTAACTGAACCAATGGATGCTTGTGTGATTGGGATTACGCTTCGTTTTATTATTGAAGATATATGCATGTAACTAAACTTAGATGTACTTGTAACTATACAGACCTCTCCTTATAACCATACAAAGCTATGCTTGTAACTGAACAAGTCATTGACTCTAAAACTTAGTCCTAGGTTTGGATGAATAGAGGGACATATTGCATATAACTGAAAGGATATATGCTTGGAACTAAATTGAGATCTGCTTATAACTAAACGAAACCCTGCTTGTAACTGAACCAATGGATGTTTGTGGCATAGCTTTGTTTAGTTACAAGCATAGTTCTGACTGGTTACAAACAGATCTCAATTGAGTTACAAGCATAGTTCTGTTTGTCTTTCTTACCAAAATCTATATTTTTATTTTTTCTATTCGACTCTTATCATCATGTAAGGTAATGTGATTACTTGTTATTGATGTTGATGTACATTAATTTTATACATGATATTGATTTATTTCTAAGAGGAGTATGAGCAGTCATATTGCAATCAATATGGCAATAATCTTACTTGAGAAAGCTCATTTGATGCATAGAAATGGGTTGCAGTCTGTAATGGGCCTTGTAAGAATCAAATTTATGGTTTTGGAAACATCTATCATTGCAGACAGCTTGCTTCTATTGGCATTTTATCTGAATCCATCTCCATAGCACCTCTCCTTGGATATGTCAGTTTGGATTAATTACAAGAGGCAATTGTTAAAGTGTTTGCAAAGGAGAGACAAGTAGTAGCATCAAGAAAGACATAAGTGCTTGAGGAGGCCAAGAAATTAGCAGAAGAGATATTGAAGGCCAGAAGGGAGGTAATGAATGCTAGGGAGGAGGCTATGATGACTACAATGATGGAAAAGTTTAGTACAATGTAAGGTGGATCATCAACCCAAAATGAGAGCATTGGACAAGGCAATAAGCAGTGAAATTACACTTTAACATTGTTATGTTTTAATACTTTACATTCTTGTTTCATTTTTTATGTTCCAAAATAGTTATCAAATTGTATTATTAAAGATGTTGTCATTTCAAACTAATTGTACTATGATGTTTAATTACTTTTCATATATGCTACAGGTGAAATACAATTGAAATGATACAAATGTGTTACAAGAATTATAATTCATTATGGAAGTTGAAATGATATATATGTATTACAAGAATTACAGCACTAGTTACCCTTAAAATGAGTCATAAGGAGGTCACAAAATCAGTGACCCAATTGTGACCTTGCACGCAGTTAGCATAATAAGGTTAATGGGGTCACTAATTAGTGACCGACTAAAATTGCAATCACTGATTACTTACTACATTCGCGGTCACTAAATGTGTGTCTAATTTTGTTATAAAAAGGATCATTAAATAATCAGTGATCGAAGCTATTTGGTCACAAATTATTGACCGCATGTTTTCCATCAATAATTAGTGACCATATGTTTCGGTCACTAACTAGTGACTGCCTATATTTGATCGCTGATTAATGACAGAAAACTGTGGTCACTATTTACTGACCGAAGTGCTGGTGGTCACAAAATCGATTAGTGGCGTGACTTTTCCTGACCAATTGTATCAATGACAAATGCGGTCACTGCCCTTTTAAATTAGTGACCGATGATGTGGTCAGTAAATGCCATTTTTCTAGTAGTGTATGGAAAGAGAATTTATCGATTGTAAGATTAATATTAAAACAATAAATAAGGGAAAATTTCTTTTATATCGGTAAATGTCAAGTCTCACATATATCCTCTTATTGTTAAAGAATTTATTTAAAATTTTCTTATAATTAATTTATTTAAATTCTTTCATTGAGATTGATATGGAAAGAATATATGTAGATTGTGAGATTATTATTCAAAAAGAATTCAATTCTTGTAAATTTACAAATTCAAACTTGTAAATTTATAGATATGTCCCTATAAAATTACAAATCCATGCTTTTAAATTTATAGATCTCTATACTTGTAAATTTATAAATACATGTTTATGAATTTATATATTTGTGCCTATAATTCTAATACGGGTACACACTTATTAACTGTCCAATAAGAGGAAGAAAGTATGAGAAGTAAACAAAATATAGTAGACTCGAATACATATAAAATATTGTACACATATATAAAAATATATGATACATGCTTGAAGATGAAGTCGAAGATCATTGTCTTTTGTGTTCGTGAGGGAGGGAAAGGTGAAAGAAACACTAATGTCGAATGCTTTGTGTATGAGAAGATTGGCAAGATGTTGAAATGGAAGAAGCTTAGCAAATCCTTCATGTGTCGAGAGGGAGAGATTTGAACAAGAAGAAACTTCCTCCAGTGAGAGAAACAATGTTGAGCCTTTTGCATGATATCCAATAAGAGTAAGCTTAGCAAACAATGATGTTGAGCCTAGAGGAAGTGGAAGAGCACTTTGCGCAATCCTGGAGAGAGTGGGAAAGTAGTTTTTGTATTTGGTGGGTAGGGGTATTTTTAAAATATAAATTACTTGAAAGGGGCACAAGTTTTGCTTTAGAATGAGAAAGGAATTATTTTGTAAACTAGCCTTCCGGGGAATTAAAATTACTAACCTGTTGGGCTTGTAATTTTCCTTAACATTTATGTTTTATGAAAATATTATTATATTTTTATTTTTTAAATTATTTATAATGTTAATTTGTTGTAAAGGATCTAGGTTGAGAGCTTGTTTTTGCTTTGTTAAAAATGTTTCTAAATTTTGAAGCTTGTGACTTCATGTGTTGACATGTATAGAAAGGGTTTAGAACCTATGCTTTCTAACATTTTGGGATTAGTGAAAATGGTTTTTTCAGGTTTTGGGGTAGGATATTTTAGGGTAGTATGAGATTTCTTTGTCTTCTCTAGTTTTGGGACAAGAAAGATATCTAAATCTTATATGGTTCAGGACATTAGAGAAATGAGGATTTTGTACCATTTTTAAGATTTATGTCCTTTTAGGTCATCCCATCCATGAGTAGAGATCTTATTATCTATTATGAAGTATGAATGAATATGTAAAGTTTTATTTTAAAAGAAAAAAAAAGGAGTCACTGAGGGGAATTGTTTTCTCATCCTTGATAGCTACTACAAAGAATTCCCAACAAAGTACCTTGCAAAACCCATGTCAATCTATGAACAAAAATTGATAACATATTATATAAAATAAAACCCCGCACAATATTAAAGGCTTTGCAGAAAGGAGGGAAGACAAGGTTCTAGAAGTAGTCATATTGCAAGAGTAACAACAAAAAGAATAACACGTAATTTAGAAGCCCTAGTACGGCAAAGTTCCTCAATTCTTCAATGTGTTCCCAATGTCTATGACAAAACGATATCTAACATCAGCCTTTATGAGCCGCTCCATTGCAGTGTTGACATAGTCCATTGAAATAAGCTCAATCTCTACTGTTATGTTTGGCAGCAAGATCAATCGTCTCTTGGGTTTCCTTTATGCCTCCAATGGCACTTCCAGCCACTAACTTCCTCCCTGTCTTTCAAAACTCCATGTCATCCACCATATATATGTATCCTATATAAAACAGTAAGAAATATAGATCTAGACCACAACCTACCATCATCCACCTTCCAAGAAACAAAATCATTAGAGATGAATGCTTACCCACGAGAAAGGGAAAGACTAGAAGCTTAGGTGGCTTCTCCGGTGCACCCACCAAGACGAGTATTCCATGTGACTTCAACAGGCCAATCAATGGCAACAAAGGATGAGTTGCAGATACAGTATCAATGATAGCATCCAATGTACCCATAGCAGCCTATTTATATCCGTCAAAGCCAAAATGATAAAATACATGAGAAACGAATCTATTTATCAGATGTAGATGAATAAATACTCTCGTGGCAAATCATTACCTGCTCTGATCTGGATCACGACTCACCAAAAATGAGTCAGCACCAAGACGATCAATAGATTCTAACTTCTAGCCAAGGGAGGTGCTGATCATGGTGACTTTTGTTGGGGTAGAATACCCACAAGATAAAAATAGACACATAGTAAACTTACAAAAAACTAAAATATGGATACCAAAATTTACGTGAAAACACAAATAAAAAAAAATCACGGACGGAGAGGAGCAAAAAATATCACCACTATAGGAAGGAATTTATACAAAATTCTCTAATATTATTACCAACTCGAGATACTTACTCACAAAAAAATTCTCACTTTTATATCATCCTCATTATAGTATTTTTACTCTTCTCGTATAAAAGTTTTTTCACTTGGAGCTTCTCATTAACAAAGCTCTTAAGCTCTCTTCTCTTTCTGTTTTGTGCATGTCTTGATGATGCTAAGCCTTCCTTTATTTATAGGCAAGGAGTGGCCAAAGTTTCTTCATAGCATTTAATGATGATCAGTTGGCAATGAGCCATTGTCAAAGGATGCAGGCCTTCTTTCGGTGCTATTCCTTCATTTGTCAAAATTAATTTTGCTACATTTAATGTAGCCGTTTAAGGTAACACACAAAGCCTTTTGGCTTTGTTTATAATGCATGGTGACTAGTGCCACAAATCTCTCCCTCCAGACCCATGCTTCTTAGAAGAGATTATTGTTATTCTTATAAGTGAAAATCATGCCGACAAGTTCTTTGCACATTTCAAATTTGTCACGGGATATCACCTTAGTCATCATATTCAAAGGTTTTTTGTCAATGGAGATCTTCTTCAGACAAAATGACTCATTTTCTACTTGCTCCCTAATCTAATGATACCGCATATCGATATGCTTTGTTCAAGAGTGATACATAAAGTTTTTACTCAAGTCTATTGCGCTTTGGCTATCACAATAGACAATGTACTCTTTCTAATGCAGACTAATCTCCTGAAGAAATGTCTTTAGCCAAATCATTTCTTTTCCCACTTTTATAGTAGTAATGTACTTTGCTTCAGTTGTTGAAGTGCAACGTACTTTTGTATCTTTGATTGCCATGATATAGCTCCCCTTAAAAAAGTAAACACAAACCCAACAGTGAATTTTCTATTATCAGGATCACCTACTATATCAGCATATATGAAACCTTCCAAGACTACATCTGACCCTCCAAAGAATAGACACATATTTGACGTACCTCTTAGATGCACCATTTGTAACTGAACGAGTCTTTACTTATAACTGCACAAGTCTCTACTTGTAACTGAACGATTCTTTGCTTGTAACTATACAGGTCTTTGGTTCTAATTGAACGAGTATTTGCTTGTAACTTGACAGATCTTTGCTTGTAACTATACAGGTTTATGCTTGTAACAGGAAGTCTATCAGATTTTCAATTCCTCTAAAATTGGAGAACTACTCTTGTATTTTGCTTGTAACTAAACAGGGCTATACTTTTAACTGAACGGGTCTTTGTTTGTAACTATACAGGTTTGCCTATAATTGAACGAGTCTTTACTTGTAACTATACAGGTCTCTGCTTACAACTGAATGAGTCTTTGCTCGTAATTGTACATGTTTTTGCTTATAACTAAACGAGTCTTTGCTTGTATTTGCACAGGTCTCTACCTGTAACTATTCAAGTCTCTGCTTGGTATCGAATGATTCTTTGCTTGTAACTATACAAGTCTTTGGTTGTAACTGAACGAGTTTTTGCTTGTAACTTTATAGGTCTCTGCTTGTAACTATACAAGTCTATGCTTGTAACAAGAAGTCTATCTGATTTTCACTTCCTCTAAACTTGGAGAACTGCCCCTGTATTTTGTTTGTAACTAAACAGGGTTATGCTTGTAACTGAATGGGTCTTTGCTTGTAACTATACAGGTCTGCTTGTAACTGAATGAGTTTTTACTTGTAACTATACAAGTCTCTACCTACAACTGAACGAGTCTTTGCTCATAACTATACAAGTATCCGCTTGTAACTAAACGAGTTTTTGCTTGTATTTGCACAGGTCTTTGCCTGTAACTGTACAGGTCTCTGTTTGGTACTGAATGATTCTTTGCTTATAATTATATAGGTCTTTAGTTGTAACTGAACGAGTCTTTGCTTGTAACTTTACAAGTCTCTGCTTGTAACTATATAGGTACATGCTTGTAGCAGGAAGTCTATTTGATTTTCACTTCCTCAAATTGGAGAGCTACCCTTGTATTTTGCTTGTAACTAAACTGATCTATACTTGTAATTGAACAAGTCTTTGTTTGTAATTATACAAGTCTCTGCTTGTAACTAAATGTGTCTTTGCTTGAAACTGTATAGGTCTTTGCTTGTAAGTACACAAGTCTTTGATTGTAACTCAACGTGTCTTTGCTTGTAACTGTACTGATCTCGGATTGTAATAGAAGCAGTTTATTAGATTTTCACTTTCGCTAAAATTGCTGAACTATCCTTATATTTTGTTTGTAACTAAAAGGGTTGTACTTGTAACTTTATGGGTCCTTGCTTGTACCTGAACTTATCTATGCTTGTAACCAAAATGGTCAGTCAGATTTTTAGTTGCACTAAAATTGCTGGACAAACCTTGTATTTGTTTGATAGCTTAATGAGGCTATGCCTATAACTGAATGGGTCTTTGCTTGTAATTTTATTGGTCTATACTTCTAACTATATAGTTCTCGAGTTGTAACATAAACAATTTATTAGATTTTCACTTTCGCTAAAATTGGTGAATTTTCTTATATTTTGCTTGTAACTAAACAGAAATGTGCTTATAATTGAATAAAGATATTCTTGTAACTAAATTTTTCCCACTTGATGAGTTAAATATTTAATTACAAAAAAAAATTATTACTAACTAATTTGTAACCGAGAAAAGAGGGTCACAAATTAGTGACCGCAGTAAAAGGATCATTTCCTTTAAGTACTGACCCCAATAGTAACCGCCTAAAGGGGTCACCAATTAGTGACTCTTTTTTGTAACTGCTAAATTTGGGATCAGTAATTCAGTCACTAATTACTGACTTTTTTGTAACTAAAATCGTAGTGATTACTAATTTTGTGACTAATTTTTGACCATAGTTTTGCGGTCAGAAATTCGGTCACAAATTGATTATTGTTTTTTTCTTAAAAAATTAGTCTTAGTTGGTCACGAATCAGTTACTAATTAGTGACGTATTGCTGCGGTCACTAAATTCTTATCACTAATAGCGTTTTTTCTAGTAGTGATATTAATCTCAAGAAAAGAATTTAAATGAATTAATTATAATGAAAGAATTTAACTAAAATCTTCAATAATAAAAGTATATATTTGACCCCGACATTTGTCACAATAAGCTCAACAAACAGCAATGTCAAACCCAAAGCAAATGGAAGAGCACTCTGTGTGTCAAAGAAAACTGGAAAAAGTGAGAAAGTAGTTTTTATATTTGGTGTATAATGGTATTTGGAGATGTAAATTACCTAAGGAGGGCAAAAGTTTTATTTTAAACTCAACAAAAAATTATTTTGTAAAGTGCCCTGCCAAATAATTTAAATTATCAACCTGTTCGGCTTGGTAATTTTCCCTAAATGTTTGCAAAAACATTGTTAATGTTTTGAAGTGAATTGTTTCAACTTTATTAAGAAATATTATCTTGACCAAAGTTGTGATCCATGTAAAAGCTTCTTACTGGGTTAGCGGAAGTCTAAAAATTTTTTGCTTTCAATTAACCCAATTTTCTCACTAAAACGTTGTGTTTCCATTATTTTCTGGCCTTGGCATGTGCTCCTTCCTATTGCGCCTGCTGGACTTGCTGGCTACCCACGCTCCTATGTGTGCCTAAAGGTTACTCTTGTGCGTTAGGGGCCTCCTCGTCTGTCCTATATGCGCACGTGTAGCTGCTCCCGTGGCCATGTGATTCACGCTCCAAGGTTGCGGGGTTCACTCACCTTCCTCCTCTCTAGTCGACCAGAGCCACAGGAACCCGGCCAGCCGATCAGTCCTCTCGTGTTGGTCCAGCGCACGTCAGGTTCCTCTGTTCACCAGATTTTGCTCGATGTTTGGACAGCTACTCTCTCTTCTGCTCCTTTTGCATTGACCAATTAGAGACTCACGCCTAGTACACTGAACACACTCCGACACATATGCACAGTACATTAACCAGAAAGGAAAAGGAGGAGGAGGACACACTCAGATCTTACGGGAAAAACTCTCAATTTCCCAACCCTTTAATTAATCTCTCGATTATTACAAGAGGGGAACCCCAATTCAAAAACGGCAGAGTCAACATGAATATAATTGTGAACCAGTTTGGCAGCCATTGCGGACCAAAGGTTTGGAGTATGTGCCGATGTGGTCCCTGAAGCGGGTATTGTTTTCCCCTTGAGCCATCAAACTACAGATTCTATCAATTTGGTCTTCAAACTTGTAAAAAGTTTACCCAATTGGTCTTCTATTAAATTTTCAATATTTGATGTTGGACCATTGACACCGGTTCGAGGCTAATCTGACAAAAAGACAGAGCTATCGAGATTTTCTTATTGGAAAATTTTGCTTCAAATCAGCAATTTAATAAAAAAGTTTTCTCAATAGTTAACAAAAAACACATTTTTATAGACCCACTTATTTCCATTTTTTTTTCTTTTATATCTGATGAACATTTTGCTCTAAACTGCTCACCCCATGTTCCCCTGAAACAGAAGAAATATGAGTCGTTAAAATTAAAAAAAATAAAAAAAAGAAAAATAGTACTACATTAGATCCTTACAATAAAAATATATATTTTTGCAAAGGTATGAAAAAATTCGTTCACGTTAGACTGGTTTGTTGTAGCAAATTTTTACCCAAGAAAAGGGAAAAGATCTAATTATTTTTACCATGATAGCCATTAGATTATAGAAATTTCATGG